AAACCAACATACCTCTGATAGGATTCAGTCATGGTCAGTTAATACAACAGTAATTTCCAGATAGTCCATCTATCTTGTGGTTAGCTGTATGGAAACTTCTTTGAATTTTGAAATCAGTGCATGGAATTGGCCACAGTTATGGGATTGCAACAGGTTCTGCAGGAAGAGGCACCAGGATGGAGATGAGTGTGGAGGGCTGAAGTGCTGAAGCTGGCTGCTCTCAATGCCCCTTGCTCTCTTAAGGCTTTGACTAACTGGCTTATTTAATAGTTATCATATTGTCTATTTATTATTATTTACATTATATTATTATTTATTATAAATAGATTATTTTAGGTAACTATTAATTCATATAAAATTGTACTAATACATCAATTATGTGTTAAAATACACAACATTTATTAAAACATTGATTATTATTAAGATGTTAATAAATATTAAAATGTTGATTGGAACATTTTTGAAAATTTCATGTCTGACTTTTTAGAAGATAGGGGGATTCACACATCTGCTCATCCCTTGAATTTGGCATGATATGTTGTTTTGGTAGAAGAAAATAAAGAAAATCCAAATTCATATAGTTATATAGCTGGTAAATGGAAGAGTATTTTGGTATCGTCTTTAGAGATAGTAACTAATTCTTTTATACTACACTAAACCTCAGCAAGGGATAGTTTTCCTAAAGATTAGTTGAAATGTGAAATGTGAAACAATATCAATGAATTATTTTGTGTTTGTTACATTAAAATCCAGCCATGCATTTTTTTTTCTTTTCAAATGCCCTTTTATACATGCATGATTGTGACATGGATTATTCCCTTGGCAGATTCTTCATCACTTGATGCAGAACTTCCAACTGTTGATACTGTTTGCTTGTACCAACAATCTCATTCAATAAAATTGTTCTAAGTGTTGAGAAGCTGTCAAGTGCACACTGGCAAATACGTTTTCTTCATTTGAATTTTATTATTGGCAACAAATATTGTCAGTTGTTTTCCTTAAAAGTCAACAGATTAGTTTTATTCATTTTCAAGAAAATGTCTGCCAAATACCCAAATCTGAATAACTTTGTCTTTTAAGCACAAATGATGCTCCCTGAATAAAGCAAACAATTTGGTTCACAATCAAAACAATTACAAAAGTGCTTTATCTTAAATAAACCATTATACAATTCAGTCTACAGCAACATGACTTATTCATAATCAATGTTTCATCCTACATAAAATTAAGACATACATTCAAGACTTTAGATATTAAAATAGTTGTTGTGCCTCATCAAATAGATTTGAAATACAATATTTTATCTTTTCTAACCCTGAAAATGCATGGTCTTGTGCCAGGGCATGGGCTGCTTTGGCTTGGTGCTGCTGTCCTGATGCATTACTAAGACACCAGTACTTTGATCTACCACTGTTTTTGCACCATCAATGCAAATGTAAACCCAGAAATTCTAGTAAAAGTCACAAGACTTGTGATTTAGCCAGCAATCTGAATATTTCTGCATAACTTGTATTTGTTGTCCAGCATGCACGTTAAGGATGACCTTCAGTGATTGGTCCAGATCAGCTAAAATAAGGAAGCCCAACTATGTCTGTACATCCATCCATTTTTAGACAAAAGTTAAGGTTGGAGAAAACATATCAATTCTGTTCTCTTGATTAAAGTAAAACATCAATCCATGAATTATTGTCTGGTTGGAAGGGAGCAGTGTTCTGGGATTTTTTGTTGTTGTTGTTCGTATTTATTCTGTGTGCATTTAGCAATGGCAGCTGCAAATGACCTTATCTGTCTCACAGCTCTTTGTGTGTGCTCCTCAGCCAAAGCAATGCAATAGTTTACCTTATAAGATATTTCAGTAACTTCCCCATTTTTCCTTGGAAAAGCAATAGTTGGCTTTTGAAGAGAAAAATATAGGAAAATCAGCATGAGTAAAGTAACTATTTTTCTATATACAGCGAATTACACTGAATTCAATAGGATTCACTGTGCATCTACCATGAGGCAGGTCCTGAGGAGAGGGGATCAAGAGAGATAAGATCTCTGAAACAGGCGATTTTGTTATTGGCTGGTGGGAATGGGTGCTTGGTTAAAAAGTAAACAAAAGCAAAACAAATATAAAGTATCCTAAAAACCAGGAAGGAAATAGAATCTGAGAGACAGCACTAGATCGGAGAGGATCATCAAGGAAAACCTTTCTGAGAATATAGTATTTGAGATGTCAACTGAAGAAGGAAAAGAGACTCAGCTATGCAGAACTTGCAGAAAGGCTTGAGGACAGAAGAAAGAGCAAGTTCAAAGTGCTGTGGGTGAAACGATCTTGAGTGTCTTTGAAATAGAAATGGGCAGTGTGAATGGAAGTGTAGAAGAGGGCCCAGAGTCACGGGACAGCGTGGTCATGGACAAGGACACAAAAAGAGATGTGGTCTTATTCTAGGGGACATGGAAAGCCAGAGAGTACCATGACCGACTTGCATTTTTAAAAGTAGTTTTGTAGAGAATTGATTTTGAGAAACATCCAGGGGATGGAAGGCTATTTTTTAAGTCCAACTTTATTGTACATGTCCATAATAATTTGTCTTTGCCCCAAAATAACCCAGACAATCAATCAAACTTTATATTCTTAAATTGAATTTAGGCAGTTTCAAAATATTTTGGATTCTTTTGCTAGTCAAATAAGCCATCTACAATTGTGGTATTACTGGTGGTTTATATAAATGGAATTACAAAAACAAATTTTTTTCTTATTTAAAAAAAAAAAACTATCAGTACTATCACTATTAATACAAAGACAAAAATAAATTTTCATTTCCCAGAACTGGCATTTCTCTCAACATTGTCTGGCATAAGTCATAAAAATGACAAATGTTAGCCTTCAAACTAGAAAATAGAATATGGGCTACATTTTCACAAAAATCATAGGAACAGCCGTGTACAGCTGTTAGAAAGCTGTTAGAACAAAGACAAATGTTCTAATAACATAGTTGATTATGAGTATTAATAATGAATGCAATTAAACAGTATTCTAAAAAGTAAAAAGGATATAATGCATACCCCAAATTTAGATATCTATGGTGGACAAAATCGATATTAAAATAAGGAAAATATGCATGGACTCTTTAAAACCAAAAAATCCTTAATGGTATCAACACATAGGAGTAGTTTTATAGAAATCATTTTTTTTCTTGCATGGGTAGATATTAAATGAATGTGTATTGAAAGAATAACAAATTATGTACTGGATTAGGGTATTAAAAAACTTCCATAAGGGAATTTCATGGTCTATATTATCTATATGTCCTCACTTCTGAATAAACTAGCATTCTATTCCCTGGAAATTGCTTTCAGTTTTTTTTTTTTTTTCTTTTTTTCCTTTTCTTTTTTCTCACTAAAGTAAAATAACTCTTCAAAATAGTCATACAAAGTAATTTGTTAGTTTCAAGAATTTAACTCTTGATTCCAAATTTATAATTCCATTTCAAGTGCTCTGTAACTAAGTGTGTTTAAATAGTTGATATAACCAGACTGTAGCATAGAGATCCACACGGAGGTGTGTACAGATTGGTTCACATCATGTTTGACAAAACAAAAAGCAAACAAGAGCAAGAACATTGCTTCATGAAGACCATTAAACTAACATGGCCAGCATGCCTTAGAAGTTTATTGTCTGTGAGCACAGAAACACATAGCTGCAAACTTAGATCCACATGGACGTATGAACTCATGTGATCTCATCAGTATCTAGACCTAGAAGATTGGTGCCTTTTCTTATTGCATTCTTGGGTTATTTCTGAGCAGTGCCTCCCACAATATCTCCAACTGTCTAAGATTTCTATGTGAGTTTATACTACAATACCAGTAGCCCATTGCTTCACCACCATCTTTACATTGTACACAATGTATCTCCACCTGGAGATCATAGTCATTGACACCATTAGCCACCCATAGGTGAAAGGAAATCCATTTCAAAGTGGCTAAGGTATAAAGACGTGTGTGGGTTCACAAAAACAAAAGCCCAGAGAAGATAGAATAGGTTAATACGGTGCTCAGTGGCATCCTGAAGGACCCAGGTTCCATATCTCCATTCTGCTCCTCATCAGTTAGCACTTCTCCCAGTGGCTCCTCTCCAGCTGAGAAGTTGGGCACTGTCCCTGATTGATTTCAATGGTTCCTAAGTAAGGCGACTACCATGTGAGTCAGAAAAACTGTGTGTCTTATCTCAATGTGAGGAATACTTCCTCATAAATCCTTTAACAGGCTTGCCTTTATATTTCCTGGGCTACAAACCTATCTTTAAAACAATTCCAGGAAATGGGAATGAGACCAATGTTTCTGAGGCTCATACTGAAGTGAGAGTCCTCTGAGACACATAAATGAGTAGAGAAGGACAGATGCCTAAGCCAGGCAGGGACCACTGAGAGGAGGAAGAGGGGGGTGGATGTTGAGTTGACAAAGTAGAACTCGGAGGAATACTTTGAAAGCCAGCACGCATGGCACCAAATGAAGATTTGATGAACACAGAATAGTTCAGCTGCCAGAGGAGAGGTGTCCTGCATTTTCAACCTTAATGTTGTGTTTCCAATATTTCAGGTGAGAATTGTGTTTCAACAATTTATAGAATCATTTGAATCAGACAGAAGAATCCTGTGTAGAGTTATGCAGCTGATCCAAACCTTGAGTTACCCATACCTGTGTCTTACAAAATTGTCTGTTGTCTGATTATGGTGTTGCAAGGAATACATGAGATTTGTATTTCATGATTGGATGCATGAATGGCATTGGAGGATTTTTTAAATGGCTTCTTTTGTACTGAGGGAAAAACAATATTCATGCAACATTATATAAATTTAATATTAACATGAATTTTTAATTTTATCATTTAATTTCCCCTACAATGTTTTTTAGGCTGATTGATTCCTGGGTGATTTGGTGGTAAATTAATCAACATCTTTGTTAGAAATAAATGCAGAATAGGACTAATTGTCTTTTTCTCAATTTTTAAGATCCTGACTTTAAGGACCTTGGAGTTTTGAAACCCTTACCAGGTTGGTAAAATGGATATTTAATAATGTTCAGAGGCCATTGTTTTCTGCTATAAAATATACTTTTGGTTTATTATTCAAGCTCCATTTCTGTGTGTTTGTTTGGCATCTTATTATTTAGCATGTGAGTTTGAGATGGGCGGCCCTGAAGGAATTGTGGAGTCCATACAAATTTTGAAGGAAGGCAAAGCTTCTGCCAGCGAGGCCGTGGATTGCAAGTGGTACATCCGAGCCCCTCCACGATCCAAGGTCAGTCTTAAGAGGAAACCCAGACCTGAAGATTGACTTGAGAATAGTCTAGAGTGAACATCTCTTTGAGGCAACTGGACATGCTGGACACATCTCAGGGTGCCATCACAGCTATCATTTTATTTTGATTTTGAAATGCAACTTGTCTTCCCTTATCCAATGTAACTTTCTGCATCGTAAATTGCAATATGGAGAAGGTGATGAAGGGATAACTTGATAACCCAACCGAGACAAGAGACTGAAGTAAGTCTACCTCTCCAAAAGTCAGATGGAAGCCTTAGGCATGAGCTGGGGTACTAAGCATAATTACAATTATGCTCTTAATGTCAGTATCCACAGTTTATTTGTTAACTGAAACTAGTGGAGAAAAGGGTCAAGGTTATAAAATCATGGGTCTCTGGCATATAAAATGCAGGTGTGAAAAGGCCAGGACAATAGTGACAGGATTGAGGAGTGTTAGTACAGACCCTAGGTGAAAGCCCAGGCCCTCACGGTCCCAAAGATCAGGCTGAGCCATGCATATGCCAGTCAAAGGGACTAGCAATGGTGATGGGCAGGAAAAGAGCTCTGGTCAGTGTGGCCAGGTGCAAGCAGATACGGAGGACAGGGACCAAAACTTGTCTTCAAGCAACTGACAGAAATTTTAAGGCTTTGTAAAAAGGTGAAGAAAGGCAAGGTTTGGGGACTTGACTGACGGGGGCATTGGCACAGCAGGTGGAGTCCAGGTCAGGCCCTGGTCTGGTTGGTAATCCTCTCAAGACGGTTCTGTGAAGCTTTGAGAAGGTCATCATTGTTTGAAGGGTGATTCAGTCCCCGTGGTGAGATGTTTCCTCCCGCTTAGGGGGCAGCCTCAGTGTCCATCATGGGGTAATTGCTCCCACTGAATGATTAAAAAGGAAAATGGAGTCAGAGAGGAAAAAACAGAGTTAGTCAGATCAATGACTGGTCCCTCGTTCCAGAGCTTGTGTCCACTGGAAAGGGACAGTCCCTCTGCGATTGCCTATTAAGATCTTTGTGATGGTCAAGAGAAGATGTGCAGTCGATCTTACTAAGTCTTACAATTTTTTCATGGTGCTAAAAGTCTAGACTCAATGTTGATCACCCCATTCTTGGCAATACACTCTAGAATGGCAGCCACTTGGGACACATTTCTTTAGGACAACCATATTCATCCTATTTATCTTCAAAAACATTGGGAATGGGTAGCTTCCATGGGTGTAAAACTTTATTATTTACTTTCCTCCTCCTTTTACCCTTATTCCTGTTACAGCAAAGCATTAAAAATACTGATTTATTAGATTCATACTTGACTATTTATTGAGTTTGAAACAATTAATTATTTTATTAACACCAGTATGATAGAGAAATAATAAAGCCTCCTAAACCTGTCCTCTGGTGTTCACCTTCCTGCTTAGACAAATATGTGACAAAAAATTCCAAGCCACAGATCAGGTCGCCCAGGTGTAGTTGAGTGTAAGTAAAGGAGGAAGAGGCCACACACACCTGGTCAAAGGTGGAACCCATAGCACCAGGGTCTCCACTGAGCCCTGGTGTGTCAGGCAGGCAGAAGGGCAGGCTCTTCAGGAAGAGGGAAGAGCATCCGGGAGGCCATGGAATCGTGAGAATGAGCTTTTATGAATTAAAGAAATAGCATGCCATGTGATCAAAGCACCATTGTGGAGGGGCTGTGAATCAGGAAGCTGAAGGTCTCTGTGGGCACCCCCGCCAAAGAATCTGGGCTCCATCTGGGTGCCTCAGTGACGTGGAAGAGGGGCAAAGCAAGGAAGTGTTGCGAGCAGGTTTACATTTTGAAATACAGTGTTTTCTGGAGAAGACAGGACAGGGCGTATCACTGAGCAGGAAGCTGTGCTCCCACAGAACCCAGGCTGAGACCTGTCTGCTGGTAGACAACCACAGAAACACGAAGGACAGGGACAAACAATTTGTGATGGAATATTCAGGCTGGGGGGGAACCAAGAGTCGCCTTTGAGAGTGGACATCTCAGGAAACACCTGTGTCCTGCTCTTCCTGAGTCTCCCTGGGATCTGTCTGTAGGGTTTGCGTGTGTAGGAGAAGAGCAGCACTCTTCACCCATACCTCTGCTCCAGAGATCCCGAGACCCCTCTCCACCTTCCTGCTTTGACACCTGCAGTTCTCTTTGCATCTGAGAAAATCTGTGAAAGAGTTAATTTCATTATGAAAAGAATATTTATTCCTCTGTAAAATTTTATTCACTTAAAGCTCTTGGCATCATAAAGCCATAAATACCTACCTGGATTACCAGAGAGCTAGAGTGCATTTTATTATGACTTCTTACATGATTTATGAATTAACATGCAAGTACTTTCCACTTTTCCTAACCTCTATGAATGAAAGATTTTTAAGGCTTCTCATACGCAGGAAGTATGTGAGCAGCATCTCACTGCCTTAGCCCCTCTGTGCTGCCTTACGGGGAAGGTTTCCATGAGAGAGCAGATACACACCTCTTTCTCCCAGCTGGTAAATAGGCTGTCTTTTGTACACTCCCAGAACAACAATACTGAGTGTACCTGTCTGTTACAGAAGTTGGCATTCTGTGACCCAAAGGGGAAGCCGCCTGCAGAGCTGGACAAAGATGGCTCTATTGTGACAGGCTTTCTCTGCTAAATTAAAGGTTAGAGGACAGGAAGTGGCTTTGAATGCTGTGGAGAAAAGCAAGAACTGGAGATTACCGCCTATGTGGGCTTTCTGTTTTTATGGAGCTCTTAGCAGTTTATGAGAATAAACTATCAAAGCACAGTTAAACTTGAAATGGCTCGCTGTGAATATTTCAACAATACCTGGTGACTGAACCATATTGCACAATGAAAGTGCTAAATAGCTTCCTTGAATTCCTTTAAAATTTAAATGAGTTACATGATGCTTCTCAGGTTTTGATAAATAGAAAAGGTAATTTCTGGCATCTCCTTTATTTAGGAAAAGGAATACAGATGATTCCCTTTAATTAGAATGTACTCTGTCCAGATTTCTTAGATTTTGAAAAACTAAAGCCAGAAAGAATATTGGCAACCAGTAATAAGGAAATCATTGAAGAGGTGACCTGTAGAAAATGTCTATCTCCCATACATACAAATTCTGAACAAGGGTGGTAGAAAGTATTATTTTGTCCAGTTTCACTTCTCCAGAGAAAAGCCAGCAGGATGGAATAATAGGAGAATAAATCATGCTAATAGTTGGAACCTTAATTCTGGGAGGGCTGGACCTTGGGTATCTCTTGTACCCTAGTCTCAAGCAGAAGGTTTGGCATTCAGTTAAAACTCAAGGAAAGAATAAATGGATGAGCACTCAGAAGAAAGATACATTAGCAATCTTCAGATACCTGAAGGACGGGCGTATGAAGAGGAGTAGACAATCTGCATGGATAAAGTACTGCAATTCCTTTGAATATTTGAAACTAGAGAAATGTAGCTTTTAATTAAATGAAGAGAAGGTTTTTGCTTTAATAATGGAGATCAAATGAGATTCCAGAGGAGAAATCCAAGCAGAGTTTGGCAAGGATTTTGTATAATAATTAAAAATCAACTAATTTTTTGGCAGAGATAATATGAAAGTCTTCTCAAAACCAAAATCCCACGAATCTATGATAAGTGATTTGCTCAAATATTTGGCTAGTTAGTAACAGAACTGACATTAGGTCAACATCTCCTAACTCCTGGTGGAGTCTAATATCACAAAAGCCCACTATTGTGGGAAATGATAAAATTTGCTGAGACAGGAAAGGGAGATGGTGTCAAAAGACTTATAAAAGATGTGGTAAGGAGGTAACTAAGTCAGTGAAGAACCTTTTGGGAAAATAAAATTTTTATTATTTATCCATCGTTTAATACTTCAAATTAATTTTAACTTTTTACCTAATTAAAAACATTTTGAGGCAAGATACAATGGCACACACCTGTAATCCCAGCTTCTCGGGAGGGAGGCTAAGGTAGGAGAATTGAAAGTTCAAGGCCAGCCTCAGCAAAAGCAAGGTGCTAAGTAACTCAGTGAGACTTTGTCTCTAAATAAAATACAAAATAGGGCTGGGGATGTGGCCCAGTTGTTGAGTGCCCCTGAGTTCAATTGCCTATACAAAAAAAAAAAAAAAATGAATCAAATAAACATAAAAACCTGACAAATATGTTCAAATATGTCTGTGGTCATTTAGAGTAAAGTTGTGTGAAAATGACTTTATAATGACCATGAATATTGGAATATTGGAGGCAGAATCTTAAGAGGGCACCCAAGATTTCAGACTCAACCCTGGAGCTGAGAAGATGACAGAATACCACATGTCTGCTTATGATCAAGTGCCTGGCAAGGGGATTTGGGTGATTCCATCAAGGCTAGCAATCAGTTGATTTTGATCAAGAGGGAGATTATCTAGGTGAGTCTTATCAAATCATATGAGCCTTTTAAAAAACTTTGCTTTCTCTGATTTGGGGCAAAGGAGAAGCTAACCAGGTGACTCAGGAACATTCTCCAGGAGGAAGGTAGTCGCTGGTAAAGAGCCATCAAGAAAACAGGCCCTCCCTCCTGAAGTTCAAGAAACTAGGATTTTAGCCTCAGAAAAGCACAGTCAAGCCTGGAGCACTTCTAAGCTATAAAACAGTGGGATAATAAATGGGTGTTGTTTAAACTGCTAAATTTGAGGTGATTTGTTATGGAGCAATAAAAATTAATGCAATAGACTAAGGGTAATCACTGTAATGGATTACAATGATAACTAATACCAGTTCTGAAGATTGAGTTTGCCTTCAGTATTTCCAAAAATGAGAATAAAATTGGGCAAAGTGAAAGTCTTAGCAGGTTAGATAACTACCAACAAAAATGCTATGGCCCAGCTTGTTTTTAAGGAAATATTTTTGTATTATCAGATTTTAGGGGGAAACTCAGATGAACTTCAAATATTTTGACATGACTCTGGGCTTACATGAAAATTACTATAATATTATTGCATCAAGATCCCATTTCAGGAAAAATAC